AATCCTTTTTTATTTACATTATTTAGAAGTCTTTTGCGTAATATCGAAAATAATTCCCCCCTTCCTCCCTCCATTCCTTATTCACTAAGGGAGAAGTCTCTCACAGCTAATCTGAGCAGCAACACGTCGTCGAAGATAAATATCCACTGACAAAGCTTCCTTCTTCTGAGGGCTGTTTGAGAGCAGTCATAAGATGGCTTGAGCCTTTGGCAAGCTGGGAAGGGTCAAGGAATGATCGAAACAGATCAAAAGAGCCAAAAACGAATAAATTCCTCCACTGACATTACTTAAACTAACAGCTTGAACATAAAAGTCAGCTTTATTTGCATAACTCCAAACAGATGGAGAAGCCAAATATACCTGCTGACAAGTTCTTGACGCAGGAACTGGCCTAAAAAGTGATAAAGAACGATGTTTCACGTCACCCATAGTATTCAGTTCCTTTTCGTTAGGCCAATGAAGCACATCCAGCAGCGTGGCATGTATGTCGAATGGAGTCGTTAATCTGAAATACTTCCAAGAAAGAACACGAACCCACAGAGCAATAAAATCATTCAAAGAGAAAAAAAATCCTCCCACAAATGGCTCTTACTGGGGAACGGAAACACACAGAAGTAGCCACAGTGGCACTACACCTGCCAAAACGCCAACATGCGGCAGTCGCTTCTCGTACTGATGAAATTGGACCATTCAGGAACAAAACTTAGAATGTGTAAAGCACTGGCCAAGATGCAGTTGGATCAATCTTCAATTATGCGTCTGACGCAAGCCAAATCCCCTACTATTCAGCATATTTCTGGGATCAGGCATTCATACGCAAGAGCTACTCAACTTGTTTTGGACGAATGCAATAGAGTACTTCTTTTTCTTTACGTTATTTTTAAATTAAATAAGAATCCTCAGAAGCTTTGCTTCATATCAGGCGCCATTCTTTCCTAGCATGAAAACGCCTTCTATCCAGTTACATCGCATCTTTGAATTTTTTCGGACACATCTCGCTAACCACTGCAACGTGGCATATAATAAAACTAGGTGCAAGATCTTTTTCAGTATTTTTAGTTTGGCTACGGCAACTGTGTTTTAAAAACGCGTGGTCCTTTGAAAAAATAGTTTCGGCAGATTTCTTTACTTTAGCTGTTTACCTCATGATACAATTTATAGTGCTTTTAAATTTCTATGCGAATTTTGTTTTAAAAACGTACACGAAGACTGCCGTTATAGGTTATAAAAATATTTCCTGTACGGATTTTTATGCGTTTTTTGCAGCTATGCAATGCAGAAAACGCATACTGACGAAGAGCTGTCTGTGTGTGCATATTTACCAATTTTTCATCTCAAGACCTATAAAAGTTACAGGGCTAAAACTTTGCGAACTTAATCTACATGCAAGTATGGGCTCCAATCCCCAAAATGGGCGCCCTTCCCCGCGTGCGCCCACGTACAAGCCCGCCAAAGTTTTTTACGCATAAACTGCTAACTCGGGAACCAGAAATGCTGGAAGGCTGAAATCTTAAACGGACGTTCTCCGTCTAAGTAGGTATTAATGAGCTTAAACCCAGCCCCCGGGTAGGCGTAGTACCCACGCGCAGACCAGCAAAATTTTTTTCGGGTAAGTCACTAACTCGGGAATCTGAGAAGCTAGAAGGCTGACTTGAGGGGATGTTTCTCATCCAAGTGAGTATTAATGAGCTCAAACCCAGCCCCCGGGCAAGCGTGGTACCCACGCACACGTTCGTGAAAACTTCTCGGAGCAAGTTGCTAACTTGGGAACCTGAGAAGCTAGAAGACTGGAATTTTGAAGGGATATTTCCTGACAATCCTGGTGGCCAGTCTGAAATTCTTTTAGCTAAAAGCATCTACCGGAAATAGCGACAAAAATCCGCGGGGAGCTATGCAAAAAACGCATCTTCGCACGGGCAGCCCGTGCGCTGACCGATTATTCTAGATGCCCTCGCAATATAAAACTTTATTCGGTTACGAAAATCTGCCTAATAACCCAAATGAGTCTTATGTTTGCCGCATAGGTAAAGCATTTTAATAAATTAAGGGTGTACCCACGAGTCAACGTCTCTCTTCATCTTTTCATGTCCAATAATTGTACGCTAAGATGGCTCATAATAATCCTACATTTGAACATGAATATTAAAATGGATTCGAGCACGCCATGGAACTCTTCAACCTCAAAACTGTCGCCAGTCATGGCGAAAGCATGAATCTGTCCGATGTAGAGGATTTTATCTGATTCTTACCTGGGAAGTAAGCTAGTTCGTGACAAGTTAAACTATCATCGGAGATCATTTTCTACTGACAATTACCACAGTTTCGCCAACGTTGCACTGCCCTTTTCCTGTGCCCAGAAAAAACGTTTATCATTCCTTCAGACTACGATGCTTTCGACACTCTACTATGTTTCGCACATGCGGATGACACTACATAATGTTCTCCGATTTTTACGTGTTTTTGCGTGCACAGCTAGAGCGCTGCAGCAGGCAGCAAAAACGCACATTGCAACGATCCTGTCTGTGGGCGTGTGTACGTTTGTGTGTGTGTGTGTGTGTGTGTGTGTGTGTGTGTGTGTGTGTGTGTGTGTGTGTTCGTCT